GCGGCCAGATCTTGCCACTTGTATGTCTCCGCGCTTCTCCGGCTGTAAATTGGGTGGCACGGGCTCCCTCTCATGCTAGGATGCAAAGCTGTCGCTGGTATGGCTGCTATGTCTAGATTTGAAGCGCTGCAGCGACCTCGATGTGGATTGCAGTGACCACCGAGACTTCAGCAGTGAGATGCAAACTATAGACGTCGGCTTGACGCAGAGGAATGGTGGTGCAGCGGCGACTGACATCGCATGTAGCTGCTGGGATCGTGGAAAAGTGATGATGACAGCACTTGAGTGACTTGATGATGGTGCTACTCGAGCACCTGGTCTCGAGCTCCGGGGTGAAAGCCTAGGCAACCCGAGTTGATCGTGCCTAGCAATGGCAATGTTTTTACGTTGTTACCTTGTTAAAGGCATTGCTCGGATATGCTTGGACTATTTCTTCAGAGTGAAAACCTAGATTCTGAACTTGAGTGGTTGGATCCGGTGACGGCGGCTATTGAGCGTCGCTCCCTTCTTGAAGGCGTTGCTGTTGAAGAACTCTGTCGCTCGTGTGGTGTCATGAGATGGATGGTGCGAATATGGTCATTGATGTAGTTTGCCAATTGTGGATCTGATCTCTTTGATGTCTTTTTTTCGCCTACGCATAGCTTTGGTCTTATATGACTTTGCTATTTGGTGGCGTGTTTTTGTGTGTGTGTTGATGTTGGCTTTGTGCATCCTAGATATGCAGAGGCCGGGTGTTCTCATTGTGCTTGTATCCTCTTGATGCTTCATTATGAGCCAACAAAATTCACCCTTTGTCAAAAAAAGACATATTTTAGAGTGTAGATTCACTCATTTGCTCCGTATGTAGTCCGTATTGGAATATCTAAAAAGTCTTATACTTAGGAACGGAGCGAGCCCTGTGAATTTCTCCTCCTACATGTGAAATGTTTAGGAACGGAGGAGCATAACTCTTATATTTTGTATCGAAGGAAGTTTCATATGTAAACAACCTTATTTGACATGCAGGAGGAGAAATTCACAGGGCTCGCAGAGCTACTAACCAAGGTAGCGACTGATGACGGGACGGTGATCATCACATCAGTGAACGAGGCGTGGGCACGACTAGGCTCCCTCCTTGACCTCTTCCTCGCGAGCTTCAAGAACGGCGAGGGCATCGCACACCTCCTCAACCACACCCTCATCATTGCCATGGACACCATCACCTTGGCCCGTTGTGAGGCCGTGCACCCGCATTGCTACCTCCATGAGGTCACCTCTGCCAACGTTAGCTCCGCTAACCGCTTCATGACCAAGAGCTATCTCGAGCTCATCTGGGCCAGGCTCGAGGTCCCACAACATATCCTACAACTTGGCTACAACTATCTCTCCACCGTAAGCTACCCCACATATGCCTTTAACAATTTCACAAACTGTTGAGAAACATTGCATTCTCTTTTTTTTTCTCATTAAATTTATTATTTATTTTTTAGTTATTTTACATTTTATTATTTCAATGAGTGAAATATCACACTCTATATCTAGCTAGGTTATGCATTTTCAGTTAATGTTATTATTGACAGGATGTGGATGTCATGTGGTTGCGCAACCCGTTCCGATACATCAACCTTTACACCGACATGGCCATGTCGACCGATGGCTTCAACGGCAATGTTGATGACCTGAAAAATGTGGGAAACGGCGGCTTCTACTACATTAGGTCGACAAACAGGACGGTGGAGATGCTAAAGCGCTGGCGGGCAGCAAGGTCACAGTTCCCCTCCGCCCACGACCAAGGAGTACTCAATGAGATCAAGGCCGATCTCGCGGCCGGTGAACTGCAGATCAAGTTCGTGTTCCTTGAGACGACACTCTTTGACGGCTTCTGCCAGTTCCACGGAGAGATGGACAAGGTGTGTACTATGCACGCCATCTGCTGCATCGGGCTTGAGAACAAGGTGCACGACCTTAGGAACCTGGCTGCTGACTGGAAGAACTACACGAGCGTGGCGTCAATGGAGAAGAGGACCGGCAAGCATAGGTGGACGCCCCCCAACCGGTGCAAGGCGTCGATGAGGCAGCACTGATTATGTTCAGCCATATGGGGCGCATGCACACTTGTACAATCAGTGCATGGTATTATCTCACGGTGAATGGTATTATTTCCTCCTTTTATTTTTGGAGAAAGGCTATTCTTGGATAGAAAATACATACACTGATTAAGTTGGACCTGTGTTGGCGATTAGAGGTCAACTGTATTGGTCAATCAAGGAGAAATGACTTTCTATCCTAACGATGTTTGTTGGGTTCTCGCTTGATTTCAAACTGCATCATAATACAATGTTTCGCTGTGTGCCAACAAAATAAGATCGCACTTGTTGAACTTTTGCCTAGCTTCATCAGATATTTTTCTTGCTTGAGGGTGTACCTTAACATTTCGTAATGTTTCATAATATATGATATACCAGCAAAATCCGGATGCACGAATCTCCAACATATTTCATGGTGCATATATAGATGCGCACTGACCGTTCTCGCCCATCGAGGTGCAAACAAGTCTCCGAATACAATGGTATGCCAATGCCATGAATACAATGGTTCCACTGGTGAAAAAAGGGCCTTTGGTCGGTTCGCAACTGCCATTAGTCGCGGTTGCGCAACCG